TGCTCGATGTCGAGTCAGTTGTTTGTCCTTGCTGCTGCGCTGCGTCAGGTCAAAGGTCGTTGCCCTTTGACTTTCCCGTAACCTCCGACGGTTACGTTAACCTCGTTGGTTGACTCGCGCTGCTTCGACTTGAGCTGCTTCGTTTTGTGTCTTGAGTACTGACACGACAGAGGCGCTTAACTTATTTGTTCCCAACATGGGTGACGCGCGACGGGCCTGGAACTGAGGTTTGGGAAAATGTCGAGGCGGAGGCCCGGAGCGCGGGTTACCTGCTGAGCCGTGAGGTCGGGGTGCGACGTGCGAAGGTGGCGGGAGGATTGTCGATGCGATGGTTGCGAGTTGTAACGGTACTGACTGTGGTGCTAGAGTGGTGTACGCGCTGAGCAGGGACGCGAAGTAAGGAAAAGGAATTTTTCCTTACACTACCCCCCCCCCCCCCCCCCCATAAGGAGGCCCTTACGAAAGCGCGTATACATCCCGAAAATTCCGGCTGCACAAATACTCTGTTAGGACGTGGTGGTTTCTGATTTTGTCCAGGGGAGCCCAGTTGTCCTCGGTGGGTGTACGGTCTCTCCAGCGGATCAGGAATTCGATCCTTCGGGCTCCTCGTGGGTCACGAACTCGGTGGCTCAGAATCTTCTCAGACGTTATGATTGGCTCTTTCGGCGGTCGTGTCATGCTGGCAGGGCGGTTGCGTGGCAGTTGGCTTGTGGATGGTACGTAGGGGCGAAGCAGACTGACGTGGAAAGACGGACTGACGTACCAGTCAGCAGGGAGGAGGAGGTGGGTGGTGACGGGTGTAATCATGTGGCTGATGCGGAATGGTCCACAGCATCGGAGGTGGGGTTTTGGGGTAATGGGCAGGCGGAGGTTCTGTGTGTCAAGTAAAACTAGGTCGTCGGACTGGTAAGTGACAGGTCGGCGGTGGCGGACAGCGTTGCGTTTAGCGATGATGTTCGATTTTTTTAATTGCGTCTGCTGCCCGGGTCCGTGCTGCTTGTAAAATCTTGGCGAACTGTTGCGCTCGTGGTACTGGGTTGTCGAGATTCAGGGTCATGGGTACTGTCGGGTCTTGTTCGTAGTTCAGGTAAAACGGTGACTGTTGGGTCGTGGCGGAAGGTGAGTTGTTGTACGCGAATTCGATGAGTGGCAGTTGCTGTTCCCAGATGGTTGGGTTGTCGCACGTGGCTTGGATGAGCTGTTCCATCGTCTGATTTGTCCTTTCTGTCTGTCCATCGGTCTCGGGGTGGTACGAAGAGCTGAACTGTAGTTGCGTGCCAAACTGCTGCCACAGGTTCCGCCAGAAGTTGCTGGTGAATTTCGTGTCTCGGTCGCTGATGATCGCTGCTGGTATCCCGTGTAGTCGAACGACGGTGGAAATGAAGAGGCGAGCTGTTTCTTCGGCTGTGATTGATTTTTTGCAGGCTGTGAAGTGTTCCATTTTCGCCAGTCGATCGACTATCAAGATAGTGAGTGTAGTAGGAGCTAGGTTTAGGTAGGGCCTAGGCTTAGTAGCCTAGGCCAAGGGGAGTCGAGATAGTTGTGGCAAGGAGAAGTCGAGAATGTGAATGGTGTTCACAATAGCACTAGGGTACATATAGCAAACAGAGCATGCAAAGAAGGTGCACCACCAACAGTTTATAATAACTACACTAAACTACAGCTACAGGCAATTACATATATATTCTAACACTCCCCCATAACTGCCTGCAAAACACAACCTGCAGGGGTACACCAGCAACAGCAATAGCAGGCACGGTAACAGAGCAGGTACAGCAGCAAAGGGACAGGCGACAATAAGACATTCCTGCCACCCCCTTACTCTCTTCCCCCCCCCTGACCACAAGAGGGGCAGCAGGGAGAGAGAGGAGGCGGGCTGGCTCTGGCTGGTCACCCCCTCCATCCCCTCACCCTCCCCCTCCCCCTCCCCCCCACTCTGCTGCAGGAGCAGCAGAGGGGGGAAGAGAGGAGAGGTGGAGGGACGGCTGCTGGTTGGTCTCACACCCGCCACCCCAGTGCCACTCCCCCGGCTCCCCCACACCCTCACACCCTCCCCCCCAGCGGCAGCTGCAGGAGTGGGAACGAAAGGAGGAGGAGGGGAAGGGAAGCACACCACCCATCACCCCCACACCCGCCACCCCCATACCCTCCCCCCACGGCTGTAGGGAGACGAAGGAGGAGGGGGTGGGCGGGGAGAAAGCCGCAGAGCGGCTACAGAGGGTCGGCGCGGGTAGGTCAAGGGCGGCTGCAGCGAGTGCAGGCGCGGGGTGAGGCAGAGGCGGGTGCACCGAGTGCAGGAGCGGGGGCGGCTGCTCCAAGGGCAGGCGCTGGGTGGTGCAGGGGCGGCTGCAGCGAGTGCAGGCGCGGGTGAGGCAGGGGCACCGCCACGGGCGCCAGGGGCGGGTCCGCTGCGGCTCAGGACACCGTCCCGGACGCCAGGGGCGGTTCCGCGGCGGCTCAGGGCACCGTCGCGGGCGCCAGAGGCGGGTCCGCGGTGGCTCAGGTCACCGTCGCGGGCGCCAAGGGCGGGTCCGCGGCGGCTCAGGGCACCGTCGCGGGCGCCAGGGGCGGTTCCGCGGCGGCTCAGGGCACCGTTGCGGGCGCCAGAGGCGGATCCGCGGAGGCTCAGGGCACCGATGCGGGCGCCAGTGGCGGATCCGCGGCGGCTCAGGGCACCGTCGCGCACCACGGGGCACGCGACGGATAGTTCAGGGCACCGTCGCGTGCCATGGGGCGCACGACGAGCAGGTAAAACGTCACGCGCCACCCGGGCGCGGGACAGAAGGAAATTCGCCACTCGCCCGCGGCGCGCGACCGGAAAAACAGCAGCGGAAGCTTGAGGCAGGCCCACAGGCCAGGACGTAACAAGCTCTAATGCCATGTCAAGATAGTGAGTGTAGTAGTAGCTAGGTTTAGGTAGGGCCTAGGCTTAGTAGCCTAGGCCAAGGGGAGTCGAGATAGTTGTGGCAAGGAGAAGTCGAGAATGGGAATGGTGTTCACTATAGCACTAGGGTACAAATAGCAAACAGAGCATGCAAAGAAGGTGCACCACCAACAGTTTATAATAACTACACTAAACTACAGCTACTGGCAGTTACATATATATTCTAACATCGACGACGACCAGGATCGCGTCGTTCCCACTCGCCCCGGCCGGTATGTCAAACATACATGACATAGTCTGTGTAGGCTGTAGTGGGGTAGACCATATGGGGTACAACACTGCTAGGTTTCCCTACTTGTACCCATCTCTTTGCTAGTTCAGTCATTCCTCTTTCTTCACATGGTATGGAGCGGGTTCCCTAGTGGGACCGTTTCTTCCTAAGGGCCCACCATCTAAATTTTTTCCTACCCTGCCCGTAGTGCGCTTCGCGCTCTGACCTGCCCTACCCTTTCGAGGCCCCTTAGTGGCCCCTTCGCGACCCCTTAGCGGCCCCCTTCACAGCCCCTTAGCGCCCCCTTCGCGGCCCCTTCGCTGCCCCTTCGCGGCCCCTTCGCGGCCCCTTAGCGGGCCCCCTTCACGGCCCCGTAGCGGCCCCTTCGCGGTCCCTTAGCGGCCCCTTCCCGGCCCCTTCCCGGCCCCTTCGCGGCCCCTTCGCGGCCCCTTCGCGGCCCCGTAGCGGCCCCTTCCCAGCCCCTTCGCGGCCCCTTCGCGGTCCCTTAGCGGCCCCTTCCCAGCCCCTTCGCGGCCCCTTCGCGGCCCCTTAGCGGCCCCTTCGCAGCTCCTTCGCGGCCCTGCCCCGTTGCCCGTAGCGGCCCCGCCTCGTCGCCAGTCGCGGCCCAGCCCCGTCGCCACCCGGGTATCGCCCCTGCCTCGTCCCGACGCCTCAGCGGGACCCGCGCGTCGCCCCCGCCTCGTCGCGACGCCCCTGCGTGACCCGCGCGTCGCGGCTCCTGCGCGTCGCGACGCCCCAACAGGACCCGCGCGTCGCCCCTGCTCGTCGCGATGCCCCTGTTGGACCCGCGCGGCGTTGCCCCTGCCCACCGCGGCGCCCTGCCCTAACCCGCGCCCAACCTTCGGACGGCGGCCCCTGCTCCTGCCCCTTGCAGCAGCTGCCCCTGCAGCAGCCGCCCCTGGCCCCTGGAGCAGCCACCCCTGCAGCAGCCGCCCCTGGCCCCTAGAGCAGCCGCCTCTGGCCCCTGGAGCAGCCGCCCCTGGCCCCTGGAGCAGCCGCCCCTGGCCCCTGGAGCAGCCGCCCCTGCAGCTGCCGCGGAGCCCTTGCCCTGCAGTGGTCGCGGCCTCGCCATTGCCGCCGTCGTACGCCTGCCCTTCTCGCCACTGGTGAGCACAGCCCTGCCCGTACTGCTGTTACTGCTGCTCCTGCTGCTACTGCTCTTTCTACAGCTAGTGCTGCTCCTGGCGTGGCCAGATGCAGCTCCAGCACCGTCCGCGTGAGTCCCTCACGCCCCAACAGCTTCGTGAGTGGTACGCTAGTTGGGGTTGTAGGGGTGGCCGTGCTGCTACTACTGCTACTGCTGCTACTGCTTCTACTGCGGCTACTACTGCTACTGCTGCTATTGCTGCTACTGCGGCTACTACTGCTACTGCTACTCCTGGTGGTAGCCAGCTGCAGCTCCAACGACGTTCGCGTGAGTCCCTCCCGCCCCAGCAGCTTCGTGAGTGGTACGCTAGTTTGGGTTATCGGGATGGCCGTAGTGGGAGTCGTCCTGGAGTGAGTAGTTTGGGAGCTTCTTGTAGTGGCCAGGTGCAGCTACAGCATTGTCCGCGCGAGACCCTTTCGCCCCAGCAGCTTCGCGAGTAGTACGCTCAGAGTAGAGGGTCACTGAGTAGTGCTCGCTGCCCGTACGTCATTCGCACGGGTGTCCAGACTGGTCAGCCTTGCGGGACTCCTGGTCATACGGAGTCCCGCTGCTTCGCCCGTCTGAGCGACGATTGGCGTACAGAGTTTGGCGACGACGCTGAGCTCCCCTCCTGGCTGGAGCTACTTAGGCAGAGGGTAGATATCTTTGCTCTTGACTATGATGCTCTTCACACTGCAATGTATGCATTGTCTACTAGTGCTGAGGGTGCCTGTCATCTATGTGTGCCGCCTGACCCCGGTATCCAGTCTGCTGCTCTAGGTGTTGGTGAGGCTGCTGCTCTAGGTGCTCGTGCGTCTCCTGCTCCAAGTGTCGTTGAGGCTGCTGCTCTAGGTGCTAGTGAGTCTCCTGCTCCAGGTGCTGGTGAGTCTGCTCTGTCTGGTGCTGCGCCTCTCCGGTCTTGCACACCTTCACCCTTGACGTGCTTCCCGCTCCTTCTTTCGAGACCGCACCACCCTCACGCCGCTTAGTCAGCCGGTTGCAGTCTCCCTGGCAGACCCCTCTGGGGGTCATGTCCTTGCTCACTACTCCACTGTCCTACCGTGTCCGGCGGCCCCGTCTGGCTCCCTGTCAGGTCTTTACCTCCCCTTGTTCTCTACGAACTTGGTGAGTGGTGCTGACCTGCAGGATGGAGGGGTTGACCAGTTCACTCCTGCGAGTCAGCGAGTGACCCACTACATGTGTGCTCGGACGGGCCGACACTTGGCCACGTTTACCCGTCACCCGGGGTCGAGCCCGTACACACTGATGACTGAGTCTCCTTCGGTTACTGCGTCTGGTCAGGATGCTGCGTCGGGTCAGGTGTCTGCTGCAGCGTCCAGGTTTGGTCCTGGGTCTACCCCCTGCTCGTGTCGCATCCTGTCCCACCAGACTCTCCTTTGGCACCACCACGTTGGTCACCCCTCCCTGCCTCGTCTCCGAGGCATGACCTCCTGTGTCCTTGTCTCTGGTCTCCCCAGGTCCCTCCCTCTCTTTCCTCCGGGGCCTTCCCCTACCTGCGTTCCCTGCGTCGAGGGACGGCAGCACGCCGCTCCTCACTCCTCCGAGTTTCCTCCAACAGAGGCTCCGCTGCAGAATCTCCACATGGACGTGTGGGGCCCCGCCCACGTCCGTGGACAGGGTCATGAGCGTTACTTCCTGCTGGTGGTTGACGACTACTCGCGTTACACCACAGTCTTCCCCTTGCGCCGCAAGGGTGAGGTCACTGAGGTGTTGATCGATTGGATCCGCGCTGTTCGTCTCCAGCTCAGAGAGAGTTTTGGCTCAGACAATCCTGTTCTGCGTCTGCACTCCGACAGAGGTGGAGAGTTTTCCTCCGACCTTCTGCGAGCCTTCTATCGTGCGGAGGACATCCGCCAGACGTTCACGCTTCCGGCCTCTCCACAGAAAAATAGGATTGTTGAGTGCCGCATTGGCATGGTCATGGACGTCGCTCGTACGTCCATGATCCATGCGGCTGCTCCCCATTTTCTGTGGCCGTTTGCGGTTCAGTACGCGGCGCATCAGATCAACCTTCAGCCCTGGGTCTCTATGCCGGAGACCTCCCCTGCTCTGCGGTGGACGGGGAAGGTTGGCGATGCGTCTGCGTTCCGTGTCTGGGGATCTCGAGCTTTCGTCCGCGACTTGTCTGCGGACAAGCTGTCCTCCCGTGCTGTTCCATGCGTCTTCCTTCGCTTCCCCCCTGACGCGCCTAGTTGGCAGTTTTACCACCCCACCTCGCGCCGTGTTCAGTCCTCCTAGGACGTCATGTTTGACGAGTCGCTTACGTACTACCATCTCTTCCCCTACCGCACTGCTCCCCTTCCCCCCCCCCGCCGCTCTTCCTCGCGCCAGGTCCCCCCCCCGGTAGACCCCCTCCCCCCCCAGGGTCCTGCTCGCTCAGGTGTGTCCCAGGTAGACGCGGTCAAGCCTGTCGAGGTAGCTGTTGACTCTGGTGCTGCTAGGGGTGCTGAGCCTGCGGGTGCCGGGTCTGGGGGTGCTGAGCCTGCGCGTGCAAAGCCTGGGGGTGCTGAGTCTGGGGGTGCTGAGCCTTGGGGTGCTGAGTCTGGGGGTGCTGAGCCTGGGGTTGCTGAGTCTGGGGGTGCGGAGCCTGAGGGTGCTGGGCCTACTCGTGTGGAGTCTGGTGGTGCTGGGCTTGGAGGTCCTTCCGGTGCTTCGTCCCGGTGGGAGCCACTCTCTCTGTAGGAGCTGCGCGAGTGGTTTGCTAGGTGCTGGTGTTGTGCTGCTGGAGCTGGTGGTGCTTCCGGCGCTAGAGGTTCTGCTGCGGCTGGAGGTCCTTCTGCTGCTGGGGCTGCTGGGGGTTCTGGAGGCACGGGTCCCGGAGGTGCTCGTACTGGATGTACTGGAGCTAGAGCTGCTGGCGGTGCTGGAGCTGGCGGTGCTGCTGGAGTAGGTGCTGCTGGAGGTACTGGAGTTGGAGCTGCTTCGTCTTCCGGTAGTCCTGCTGGAGCTGGAGCTGCTGCCGGTGCTGGAGCTGGGGGTGCTGCTGGAGGTGCTGCTGGAGGTGCTGGAGGTGGAGGTACTGCTGGAGCCGGTGCTCATGTGGGTGCTGGAGTTAGCGCTAGTGGAGCAGCTGGTGGAGCTGCTGGAGCTGTTGGAGCTGATGCTGGGGGTGCTGGTGCTGTACCTGCTGGCTCTGGAGGTGCTGCGCGGCCACGACCGTACTTCGTTCCGCTCCTCGAGCAGGTTCTTGGTCTTCTGCCCTCTACTGGTCCTGCTCCTCCCTTAGAGTGTCCACCGCTTGTCCAGTCCGAGTCACAGTTAGAGCCCGCCTCCCCACTGCCTGCTCCTTCTCCCTACACTCGTCCTACTGGAGGTCTTGCTGAGCGTCGTGAGCCTGCGTCTCGTCCTACGTCGCCTGTTCGTACTGCTTGCAGTGGTCGTCGTGTTTTGCGTCAGCGTCCTCCTGTGGTCCGAGGCACGCACCAGATGGCACTCCGTCCTTCCACTGCTCCACTGCGTGTCCCTTTGCCGTCTCCTCCAGAGTCCTCTCTTCCTGCTCTTTTTGAGTTGGAGTCGGACTCCCTTCGTGCTGCTAGCCCTACTGTCAGGCGTCTCCTGGCTAATGTTGTCACTGACCCTTCCTTTGAATCCACTGCTGCGTCTGCCTTAGTTGCTGAGCTTGTCGACTTCGCTACTCACCGTCGTATAGACTACGCCGCTAGTCTTGTTGCTGAGTCTGAGTCTGTCTGTCCTCCGTCCGTCGGGGGTGAGTGTGCTCTTAGCACGGACGTCCTTGAGGACAGGCAGGAGGAGTTCCAGTGTTTTGCTGCTGCTTTTCCTCATCTCGTGTCCATGCTGATTGCACCTGAGGGAGACCCGGATGCACCAGACATCCCGACTCCGCGCTCTTATGCAGAGGCGATAGAGGGTCCCTACTCCTCTCAGTGGCAGTCAGCCATGGACGCAGAGATGGCTTCCTGGAAGTCCACAGGCACCTACGTCGACGAGGTTCCCCCACCTGGGGCGAACATCGTCAGTGGCATGTGGATTTTCAGGGTGAAGCGGCCGCCGGGTTCTCCGCCTGTCTTCAAGGCGCGTTACGTGGCTCGAGGCTTCAGTCAGCGGCAGGGAGTTGACTACTTTCAGACCTTCTCTCCCACCCCGAAGATGACCACTCTTCGGGTGCTGCTGCACATAGCCGCTCAGCGCGACTACAAGCTTCACTCTCTTGACTTCAGCACTGCTTTCTTGCAGGGCAGCCTGCACGAGGAGATCTGGCTGCGCCGCCCACCTGGCTTCACTGGGTCGTTTCCTCCTGGTACCCAGTGGAGCCTCTGGCGGCCAGTCTACAGTCTCCGCCAGGCGCCCCGTGAGTGGCACGACACACTGAGGACTACACTTGCAGCTATTGGCTTTGCTCCTTCTACTGCCGACCCGTCACTGTTTCTACGCACCTACACCTCTCTGCCGCCGTTCTACATCCTCGTGTACGTCGACGACTTGGTCTTTGCCATTGCTGACACTGCTGGACTCGCCCATGTGAAGTCCGAGCTGCAGAAGAGACACACGTGCACAGACCTAGGTGAACTGCGCAGCTACCTTGGCCTGCAGATCACCCGGGACAGAGCGCGGCGCACCATTACTCTGACTCAGTCACACATGGTGCAGCAGGTCCTTTCAGCGCTTCGACTTCACGTACTCCTCGCTTCAGGCCACTCTGTCTACTTGCCAGTCGCTCTCACCTCTGCCTTCGGATAAATGCGTAGAGCCGAGTGGCCTGTACCTAGAGCTTGCTCACTTCTTGACTTTGCTTGTACTGTGATCTATATATACCTGCACTTGCATGCTTACCCTTGCTAGGTTTTGGTCACCGCCCTACTTGTTCACCTTGATATATAACTCTGCATGTGAACTGGCCTTGTGGCCCTATGCTTGTGCTTAGATTGTGTGGTGACGTTGGGATCCACCCGGAGCTTGCCTTGCTTTGTTTGACCGGTCTTGTGACCTCTTGTTCTCCCCCACTTTGCCTATGGGGTTGTGTCAAACATACATGACATAGTCTGTGTAGGCTGTAGTGGGGTAGACCATATGGGGTACAACACTGCTAGGTTTCCCTACTTGTACCCATCTCCTTGCTAGTTCAGTCATTCCTCTTTCTTCACACGGTAACCCCATGACGAAGTCCATCGTCACCCGCTGCCAAGCACGCTCTTGGGGTGGTATCGGCCGTAACTATCCTGCCGGCCGCTTCCTTGATGAGTTCATGATCTGGCAAGTGGGACACGATGCCACGTGTCGTTGAACGTCGGTCAACATTTCGGGCCAGTAATAATACCGCTACAGCTGCTGCCGTGTTTTCTCTACCCCGAAATGGCCCGAGGTAACTCCGTCGTGTGCCTCCTGTAATAATAATTCCCATAGCAGTGTATATCCTGGTACCCAGATGCGGTCGGTCCCAGCTTTTACGTAATAGACTCCCTTTGCTGCTCCGAACTGCTGCAAATTTCCTCCTGTGAAGAATGGATCCGTTTGGTACCCGTGGGTAAATAGGCTTGTCAGTAATGGGCTGGTCTGGGCGAGTAGTATTGCATGATATGGGCAGTGGGGCGGGTCAGTGCGTCGGCGATGTTTGATGCCCCTTTTTTGTAGGTGACTGTGTAGTGGAAGTTTGACTCAAGGAAATCGAGCCAGCGAATTTGTCGTGGGTTGAGGTGTGGCTGTGCCCGGAGGTACTGTAGTGATTTATGGTCTGTCCGTACTATCACGTCTGCGCCGGTCAAGTAACAGCGCCATACTTTGAATGCGTGCACGATTGCAAGCATTTCGCGGTCGTGTATCGGGTAAATTTTTCTTGGGCAGATGCAGTTTTCGTGACTCGTATGCGATGGGCTGTAGGCCGTCGCCGAAGTCCTGTAGCAGTACTGCTCCGATGGCGATGTCGCTTGCGTCTGTAACCACTTCGAATGGTCGGTGTGGGTTGGCAATGCGCATTACGGGCGGTGAACAGAGAATATTTTTTAGGGCAGAGAAGGCAGCATGCTCTTTCCCCCCCCGCGTAAAAGTGACCCCCTTCCGGAGGAAGTCGGTCAGCGGCGCAGTTAACCGTGCCATGTCGGGGACGAACCGCCGCACGTAATTGACGAACCCCAAAAAGCTCTGCAGTTCCGTGATATTCGTCGGGGGGTGCCAGGGTGTTACCGTGTCCAACTTTTTGGGGTCAATTTCGACCCCAGCCTCCGAAATAATGTGCCCCAAAAACTCTAGCCTGTCCTGAAAAAACTCGCACTTGGAACCCTTTGTCAATAGCCAATGCTCGTCTTAAATTTTAAACACTGCTTCCAGATCTGCTAAGTGCTGCTAATTGTCGCGAGTATAGACGAGGATGTCGTCAAGGTAAACTATCATGCATTTATTTAAAAGCGACCTAAATGCCTCGTTCACGGTCATCTGAAACGTTGCCGGTGCGTTGGTCAGCCCGAAGGGCATCACGGTGTACTCGAAACTCCTGTATCTAGTCCGAAAGGCTGTTTTGGCGCAGTCCGATGGTTCGACTCTAATCTGATGGTAACCCCCCCGTAAATATTTTTTTTTTCTCGAAAAAACCCGTGCTGTTCGCAGTTGGTCTATTAGTTCGTCGGCGCGGGGAATGGGGTGTCAAACTTATATGCTATAGTCTGTGTAGGCTGTAGTGGGGTAGACAATATTGGGTACCCACCTCTTTCCTAGTTCATTCATTCCTCATTTCTTTACATGGTATAGAGCAGGTTCCCTAGTGGGAACGCTTCTTAGGGCCCACCACTGAAATCGATTTTTTTCTCCTAACCGGAGCGCGAATCGCCCCTGCCCGAGGCGCGCCCCATGGGCCGCCTTCTCGTTGAGTCGCCCCTGCCCTTAGCGGCCTCTCGCGCCCTCCTAGAGGCCCCTCTCACGGCCCCTCACGCCACCCTTAGCGGCCCCGTCGCCACCCCTAGCGGCCCCTTCGCCACCCTTTGCGGCCCAGTCGCCGCCCTCTTAGGCCCCTCGCGGCCCCTTCGCGGCCCCGTTGCCGCCCCTAGCGGCCCCGTCGCCGCCCCCCTCGAGGCCCCTCGCGGCCCCTTTGCGGCCCGGTCGCCGCCCTTAGCGGCCGCGTTGCCGCCCTTAGCGGCCCCGCCGCCGCCCCTAGCGGCCCCGTCGCCGCCCTTCGAGGCCCCTCGCGGCCCCTTCGCGGCCTCGTCGCTGCCCCAAGCGGCCCCATCGCCGCCCCCCTCGAGGCCCTCGCGGCCCCTTTGCGGCCCCGTCGCCGCCCTTAGCGGCCGCGTGGCCGCCCTTAGCGGCCCCGCCGCCGCCCTTCGCGGCCCCGTCGCCGCCCCTAGCGGCCCCGTCGCCGCCCTTCGAGGCCCCTCGCGGCCCCTTTGCGGTCTCATCGCCGCCCCTTTTGGCCCCGTCGCCGCCCCTTGCGGACCCGTCGCCGCCCCTTTCGGCCCCTCCCCGGCCCCTTCACCGCCGAGCCGCCGAACCGCCAAGTAGCCGAGCCGCCGAGCTGCCGAACCGCCGAGCCGCCGAGCCGCCAAGCCGCCGAGCCGCCGAGCAGCCGAGCCGCCGAAGCCGCCGTCGAGCCGCCACTGCCAAGCCGCTGCCGCCGAGCCGCCGTCGAGCCGCTACTGCCACTGCCTAGTCGCTGCCACCGCAGTTGCAGCCCAGTTCCTACCGGCGCGCCCCGGCCCTACCCACCCGGACTGGTGAGAGCACTCCCTGCTAGACCACTGCTGTCATGGCTACCCCCAGTGTCCTTACCTTTGATGCTGAGGGTCGTGCTGTTGACTTCGAGGTCTGGGTCGATGACCTACAGCTCTTCCTATAGTGCGATAGGGCAGATGGACTCTCCCTCTTTGATCTCACCTCTGGTGCCTCTCCTGCCCCGCCTGCTGATGCTGACAGCACTGTTCGCTCACAGTGGACCACACGCGATGCTGCTGCCCGTCTTGCTGTACGTCGCCACTTACCGACCGCTGAGCGTGCGCACTTTAGTCAGTACAAGAGTGCTAAGACCTTGTACGACGCTGTAGTTGTACGCTACTCTTCCCCTGCCACTGCTACTCTTAGCCGCCTCATACTGCCGTACCTGTTTCCTGACCTCGCCGCCTTTCCCACTGTCGCTGACCTCGTTACGCACCTTCGCGCTAGTGACACCCGCTACCGCGCTGCACTTCTTGCTGAGTTCTGCGCCAAGAACCCCCCCCCCCCCCCCCCATGTACATCACCCTCTACTACATAGTCACCCGGCTCCCTCACCCCCTTCGCTCAGTCAGGGACCACTTCCTCTCAGTTTGCCCCACCACACTCACCGTTGACCTCCTCGAGGAGCGCCTCCTGGCAGCTGAGAAGAGTATAGTCGCTGTAGGAGCCTCTCGAGGTGACCCCCGTGCCCCTCTCTTTGAGGGGTGCTCCCCCTCCCCCCTTTTGCCCTCTGTTGCCTCTGCTCCTGCCGTCGACTTCGTTGGCACCGAGTCGGTCGGCGCAGCGTCTGCCCCTAGCGGGCGACGCCGCACCGGCAAGGGCAAGGGGGGCAAGGGCGCTGGAGGGGCTGGCGGGGGCGGTGGAGGTGGAGGTGGAGGAGGCGGAGGGAGTGGGGGTGGTGGTGGGAGTTGTGGCGGGGGTGGGGGCTTCGGTGGTGGCGGTGGCGGCGGAGGCGGCGATGACGGTGGCGGTGGGAGCGGAGAAGGAGGCGGTGGCGGCGGTGGCGGAGGTGGCGGCGGAGGAGGTGGAGCTAGTCGGGGTGGCTCTGCGCAGCGGGAAGGCTTAGGTGGTGGTCAGCGCCAGCAGCAGCACCGCACTCGTGAGACCCCGCCCCCTCAGCAGCTTCGTGAGTGGTACGCTGGGCGTCAGCGAGGTGGGGGTACTGGTCCCTGTACCTACGTCCTGCGTACCGGCGACCGCGCTGGTGAGCAGTGCGGGGGCTGGCACTCCACCCAGCACTGCTTCGGCCGCCTGAGGGATGCTTGGCGTCACCTGTTCCCTAATGCCACTGAGATCCCTCGCTGGGGAGAGCCGTCTAGGGCGGGGGTTGCTATATTTGATCTTGACTATGATGCTATTCTTGCTGCCATGTATGCTATGTCTACTAGTGGTGAGGGTGACTGTTACCTGTGTGTTACCTGCCAGCGCGCCGCCCCTCATTCCTCCGAGTTTCCTCCGACAGAGGCTCCCTTGCAGACTCTTCACATGGACGTGTGGGGCCCCACCCGCGTCCGTGGCCAGGGTCACGAGCGCTACTTCCTGTTGGTGGTTGACGACTTCTCGCGTTACGCCACGGTGTTCCCCTTGCGCAGCAAGGGTGACGTCACTTGGGTGTTGATCGACTGCATCCGCACAGCTCGTCTCCAGCTCAGAGAGAGTTTCGGCTCGGACTTTCCTGATCTGCGTCTGCACTCTAATAGAGGCGGGGAGTTTTCCTCTGCCCTTCTGAGAGCCTTCTGTCATGCACAGGGCATCCGCCAAAACTTCATGCTTCCGGCCTCTCCACACCAAAATGGGATTGCTGAGCGCCGCATTGGCATGGTCATGGACGTCGCTCGTACGTCCATGATCCATGCGGCTGCTCCCCATTTTCTATGGCTGTTTGTGGTTCGGTACGCAGCGCATCAGATCAACCTTCAGCCCCGAGTCTCCTTGCTGGAGGCCTCCCCCACCCTGAGGTGGACGGGGAAGGTTGGCGATGCGTCTTCGTTCCGTGTCTGGGGATCTCGGGCGTTTGTCCGCGACTTGTCTGCGGACAAGCT